GGTCAGGTTCACGTGCTTCTGTGGGGACATGCTTGGCCTGCCTGCAGGACTGGCCCCACTCCTCCCAGGAAAAGCACTTTCTCCCGATCTACTCTTAATGTTTAGCAAATGTAGCTGTTTTCCTTAGCTCAGAAAAGCCCTTGGTTGCCTCACTTTTTGCAGTTTAAACAGGGAGGAAAGAAGGTTGGAAAGGGTGGGCCTTTTGTGTTTTCTGTTAGAGAGAACGGGTGTTATTTGTAAAGGAATAATTTTATCTCGAGAAAAGTTAGAAACAGTGGGAGGTGTTTTTTCTGTCCCAGATAAACGTTATGAATGGATTCAAGGGCAGAGTTAGCATTTCCTTCTGAAAGACCACGCATGGGGTGGGTCGAAAGACCAAAATATGTCTTATGACACTTTTGATGTTCTTTGGAGAGATAGCCCAAGACTTTTTTTCAAATGCTGAAATTTATAATTAGCATCTCAACTTCCACCGAGCCCCCTTTGTGCTCCAGTAAAAGGGGGATGATAACATTTACTCCGCAGAGTCATTCTGGGGAAGATTAACTGAGGGCAGGGAGTGAGCGAGAGCAAAGGCACGGAGGGCTCTCTGGGTCAGGTGGGCTCACTCACTAGCCCAGCCCCTGCCCGGAGGGTAGCCTGACACGGTCAAAGTTGCGCTCGCAGTGACGTGCCCGGTTTCTTGCTCAAGAACAGTCAGCAGACTCTGAGCTGTCCAACCCAGGAATATAAAGTATTCAGTGACCGGGAGTCTCCTTGCTTCTCATTCCCTCATTTATTTATTTTCTAAATGAAAATATAAGACAGGAACTCCGGCTCTTGGTTTGATAACTCCTTATTGGGTACACAAAGGAGACAGAGTCCCCCGTCCAATTGGCCGGAGCACACAGATTCTGAGTGTATTGAAAACTAGTGAACGCCAAATAAGTGACATACACAGAACTCTACCCTTGCTTCTACTCAGTATCCAGTGCAGCTGTAAATTTCCTTCCTTTTGTCTGTGTTCGTGTTGTGGCCATTCCTGTTGTGTCAAAGATTGCAGGCTGTTTCCTTTAAAGAGTTTGGCCAGTCGGGGCTCAGAGTTAATTTCCTGCTAGCACAGCAGTCTGTGCTGAGCAGTGAGGGTGGAGATCTCCATCCAGATCCTGCCAACTGCAGATCTTAACGACCTTCCACGAGTACTGAGGGAGCAGTCTATACCACACAGCAGTGCGTGTAACAGAACAAAGTAGCGGTTTATACCCCAGCGAGTGCGCTTTCTGAGAAGGGTAATACGGATGGGGTAGATGGCTCTCCGTTTGCAGTCACCCAGAACATTTGCAAACACAGAGATTTCTTTCTATTTTTGAGAACTGGAAAACATATGCTGAGACAGTCATCAACCCAGAGGGAACCGCACTGTATAAATCACTGTTAACTTGCACTATAAATACCCAGGTGAGGATGATTTAGAATCCTAGGACTTCCTTCCAATTCCAGCCGAGGACCCTGTTGGTCCTTGCACTGATAACAGGCACTTCTTTTCCAGCCGCAGAAGAATCACAGCCCAACAATTTCAGGGAAGTTACAGCTGCCAGTGATTTATGAGAATGTGTATCCATTCTAAAATAAATCCAAAAGCCACACCAACACCTAATTCCTATATAGAAAAAAGACTAGGAGAAAATATGCTCAAATATGGAGAACAGTGCAAAGCCTCTGAGTTTTAGAATAATGAGTGATTTTTTTTTCTTGCTTTCTATTTTCTGGACTTTGCAAATATTTTTACACTATGACTTTTCTGTTATAAAATGTTATCAGAGACAAAGCTTATTTCCTTCCTCAAGAGGGCTTTATGTGACATCTGTGATGGAAACAGAAGACGGGTAGAAAAGTAATATCTAAGCCTGAAGCAAACTCTTAATGCTCTCCCTGGGGGGCTTCAGAAGAAATTAAAATGCATTCTTATAGCTGGTTGGATTTGGCTGAGAACTGGACCATAGGAAACTGAAGGAACTCACAGTAAGCATTTCTGGGGACCTTCATTAAGTCCACAAAGGTTGGTGTGCAGGGTCCCTTGGCTAAATTGAAGTGAGCCCAGAGATGTGAGCCCAGAGGCGAAGCTCTCAGATGAGTGGTTATGTGTCAGAATATGCCCGTCCCTGGCATCATCCTTTCCCTGTTAGAATCTAGGGTCACTCCACTCTCTATTAGACAGTACAGGAAGTTCGATGTCAGCTGAAGAAGTTGAAGCCTTTCCTCCTTTCTGGGATGTTTGCATTTTAATAACAACAACAACAAAAAACTCTGAAGTTCACCTCACACTGTCAGAATGGCTTTTGTCAAAAAGACAGAGATACAAAGTGCTGGCAGGGTGTGGAGAAAAGAGAACCCTCGTGCACCGCTGGGGGGAATGCAAACTGGTGTAGCCACCATGGAAAGTAGTACAGAGGCTCCTTAAAAAATTGAAAATAGAACTACCTTATGACCCAGAAATTCCACTTCTGGATATTTATGTGAAAAAAAAAGAAGAAAGAAAGAAAGAAAGAAAGAAAGAAAGAAAGAAAGAAAGAAAGAAAACATTAACCCAAAAAAGATCACCTATAGACCCGTGTTCATTGCAGCATTATTTACAATAGCCAAGATGTGGAAACAACCATGTCCATTGGGTGAATGGATAGAGAAAATGTGTGTGTGTGTGTGTGTGTGAGAGAGAGAGAGAGAGACAGAGAGAGAGAATATTTGCACATATATATGTATATATACATACCTATATATATGCATATATGCATATATATATATATATATATATATATATATGCGCAATGGAATGTTATTCAGGCATTTAAAAAGAACTGTTGCCATTTGGGACAAAATGGATGGGCCGTGAGGGCATTATGGGGAGTGAGAGCTGGAGGCGGGTGAAATGGACAGGGGGGTGAAAAGGTACGAAGTCGCAGCTGTCAAGTAAATAAGTCACGGGGACGTCACGTACAGCATGGTGGCCGCATCGCTGAAAGTTGGTAAAAGATCTTTAAAGTTGTCATCGCGAGAAAAACACTTTCGTAACTGTGTGCAGTAGCAGCTGTTAACAAGACTGAGCACAGTGATCCTTTGACGATGCAGGACAAATAACAGACCATTATGTGGTGCATCTAAAACTAACATAACCTCATCTGTGTCAATTGCACGTCAATTAAATTAACAAAAAACAAGACACCGAAACACGAAAGGGCAACTGAAAGTATCTGTCCAAGCTCTCTGCCCAAATACCTCCCATTCTCCCTGCCACAAAGATGGGCCTTGATATCTTCAGGGAGAGGGTGTCAGTAAATGAAGACCTCGCGTCTCAGAATGTCAAAGCTGGGAAGATCGCTGTAGCCCCTTCAGGTCGCGAAACATGAGCAGGTGGCCTCCAAAGCCCTCCGATGACTCAGCCGGGGCCATACAGTAGATGGCAGGCCTGAGTCTTGACTGCCCGTCCTCAGCCTAGCCCTGCCAAACGGATATTCTTAAAACACTGGCCTTTTTTTTTTCTTAGCAGCGAGGTTGAGCCCTAATTCACATGCCGTGTGATCCACCCACTTTAAACGGTGCACCATTCGATAGCTTTTAGAATAACCTTTACCACAATTTGAGAACATTTTTCCTCACCCCAGAAAGAAACCCCATACCTTTTAAGCCATCACCCCCTGGATCTCCAGCCCAGATAACCCTAATCTACTTCATGTCTGTCTAGATTTATCTATTCTGGCTGTTACACGTAAGTGGAATCGTAATACAAAATGTGGTCTTTTGTGACCTGCTTTCACTTACATATTAGAGCATGTATTCATTCTATTGTCTAATAGTATTCCATCATAAGGGTACTATTTACCGCTATTCATTAGCTGATAGACATTTACATTGTTTCCAC